GAACAATAACACCTCGCGTTTGCTCAAAAAAATACGAACAAAATCACTTGATCAATGCCGAGGTTAATAGAAAGTCGGTCTTGGCAGTTACTGCAGGATGTACCATAAATGATATAATTGATATAAATACAGACATAAGCAAACCAACATAATTTTTTTTAACATACTACATTTTTTGACTCTCGAGATGAAACGCATAAAAAATGGGAATGAAAATTGAATTTTCGAAATTTATAAAAGTAAAAACACCACAAAAGAATGGTGTAATGAGGGACGTCAAGGGAAGACGCATTTTTTTTTGAAACCCCGACTATTCAACCGCTTCAGTGCGCAAAAAACGAGTACAGAGAAAAGCTATGAAGATATGTCCAACAGGTTCTCGAAAACCAGAACTTCACTATGGGTAAAAATATATCAATGTAGTATGCATAACGATAGTTATATGTTCGATGAATTCCCTGCTGTCTTTAATCCAAATACAGCTCACTCTGAATTTGACAGTTATTACTGGAAAAAGGCAACAAATAGTAATGGCATGTGTAGTTAAATGGTTAGAGGTATTCTCGACGACATTACGGGAAGATGGCTAGATCAATCCCACGCTCCGAGATCACCAAGTCTTGCACCTTTCGTACGACGTTGGCACCAGACTTATCCGAGAAGATAGAAACACTCAGAAACATCAACAGACTAGTTGACTGCGAGTTATTACGTAGCCCGGATAAACATTCAGTCATCTGCATGATGAAATCTAATGCATGAAACATAACTCAGAGTTTGGCAACGCCAGAAGCTTCATCACTGTATCCCTTAACAATTACGAGTAAGTAAAAATCAAGGAATTCTTAAAACCTTAATTCCAACTACTTTTGGTAAGTTTTACAAGAACTTATTCACTTCTGTTCACAACACATCGCTTTTTCATTCAATATTTGAGCGAAAATTGAAAATAAAAAAAAATGAGCATTTATGTAACTGAGCGACATACCTTTTTGAAGCATTCATCAATGTCAAGAAGTTCTATTTCAACGAGAGCCCAGTAACCCTCTAAATCGTCAACAGTAGCCGGTTGTGGATCACCCTTGATTGGATTCTGTAAACAGGAACTAATTGGATAAATTTATGACGGAAATAGGTACATATGATAACAGAACACACCAGATGCTTCTTTACCAGCTCCTCAAATTTGGATAATTTGTTCCGAACCAACAATTGAGCTTTTCCAGCAGCGATTCTTATTGAAGACTCTGCTTCCTCAGGTATTGATTCAACCTTTGAAAGAAATCACGTTAATACCTAAAACAATGCCTTAACGAAAAGTAGTTTAAACTTCAAATTCATAGAAATGCGTTCCTGTTGCAACAGCACAAAGAAGCAGAAAGATCGGAATTATTATAAGTGATTTGGTGACTAGACAATTATATAGCCACTTTCTTCAGTGTGAAATCAATGCGTAAATGTGTGTAGAAGGATACCACTAAAAGAAATTGGTGTCTTCTTAATCTCTCTTTTGTGTCGATTGAAAACGTTGTCAGGAAAGTAGATGACTTCCACCGTTATGTAAAATTCATCGCATTCTTACGTACAACTTTGAAAGTGCACAAAAAAAAAAGGATCCATAACGACTTTAAAACACTACCTCTTCAAGTTCAGACAACACTTGTGCTATGGATGCTTGAAGCCTCGACCTAACTGATTCAAGTAGACGGTCGAAGTCTTCTCCTGTTCGCATATCTGACACCCACAACATGAGAATTCAATACTGCTTTTCAACTAATAAAAATTCAAAAAAAAAACACGTTCGACAAATCTATGGTTTAGACCTTCATGCATAAGAATACTCACCTACTTAGATACTTGGATGGGGCCGTCTTCCCAACACAATTTCCTTTTTTTTTGGAGTTTTGCTATTTTAGCTACCGTGGTTCCTTGGAGTTCCCTGCCGTGGGGATGAATCCCTCACTGTACATTGCAGTACAACACGCAGAAACATCCCTCCCACGAGGTGGCGGTAAATAGTTGGCAGGACATTAGAATAGGGATCCAAAATAAAAAATAGTGCCTGGTTAAAAGCTATGTAAGCCGACATGAAAATTCAGCATATTCATCAACGGTTAGCAATTCAAATGCGGCCGGATTACTCATGATAAGTCCAATTGTTAGCCAGATTAATTTAGAAAACTGAAACACACAACAATATGAAGGAAAGCTTTTGTGCATCGGAAGAGAACTGCTACCAGAAGCTTAGCAAAAACTTGCAAAAAACAATCAAAAAGCATTCCAAAAAAGTGTTGGTTACTAATAAAAACTCTGACAGCTAGCTAGTAGCCCAAAACATAACTATAGTTTAAAGACAATAAAACACTAACCAGTTCCCATTACAGGAACATCTGGCATCAAACCGATTATAGTTGGGGGATCAGAAGATCGTTCGTTCTACAAAGCACTAAGTTGCAAAGCAAAAAAGTAGACTTAAAAGTCCACGAATAAAAAAAAACGGCTATGTTTCGAAAGTATCATAAAACTGGCAGTGATTCTCACCACGTCATCTAAAATGCGCCCCGACTTCGCAGACTTCTCGACTGAATGAGATCCTAAGGTTGGAGAAGTCTGAAACAGTATTGCTAGACAGAAAATTCACACAAATTGGTGCTGTGAATAATTCATATTTGAAAAAATAAGCACAGTATGAATTGCGTTAAAACATCAACGGTGGAGTAATCGACTTCAATACCTGAATTTGATATCAGTGCAACAGAGCAAAAATGTTATACAGGAAGAGAATGAAAGTGAAAAGAATAATAAAAGTTGCTAGAAGAAAACTCTATCAAACACCATTTATTTCACTTGGTATGCTAGCACAAAAAAAAGAATGCGTAAATTAAAATGGACTCTCGTAGTAAAACTTTTGAAATCGTTCCCACTGACCGGCTGCTTGGTCACAAATGATCTGATGGGTTCACAGCTCTCTGTGGCATTCTTTTTATCCTTGCTGCACAACTGGAGTCGATCGAACTGTCTGATCAGTGCTCTGACAGGAGTTGAAAACGATGTACCCATAGTTTGATCACCGGGACTCTCCTTGCCGATCTGATTTAGTAACTCCCTCCTGTATTAATGAAAATTTCTCAAATGCTGCTTATCAATTTATAACGACTGAAGTTTACATGTGATATGAAAATTTTGCAAACAGAAACTAATTGTTATTTAAACCGACTTTCATTTAAACTTCAGCAAAAATAATACCCTCTCCGATTATTAAGTTAACATGAAGTTAATAAAAGGATCTATACGGTTAATATTTCGACGTCCTCGTTTTCTACAGACCCGCCCGGATCGATCCGAGTCGGTGATCCGTAGGTGGTCGTGCATGCGATGTGGTTGCTCGTTTCACATCGAGTTGAATCCAGTGAAGTGGAACACCGATAGAATCGATCGACTGGGCCTTTTTACCATCCTTGCGTTTGCATAATAAAGACGAATTACAATGTTGACTTTTTATTTACTGCCTTTTACTAGCCTTCGCGGCAGGGTATTATTTGTGAAACAACCACAACGATGCTGATATATATATCAGCATCACTGTGGTTGTTTCACAAAGACGAATTAGTTTCAAAGAAGATCAACTGCTGTTCAACGTCTCAGTTATGCATTAGGGTGCAGAAAAGCGTGTTACACAAAGGACGATGAAAACTAAGGAGACTTGGGCAGACAAACATAGTCCAATGTTCTGACCCCATTCTAATAAACACTTTCCTCCCAGAAATTTTCATCTGGTCCGTAGCCTCATCGCAGCTGCAAAAGACGTGTTTCAAAACCCTGAGTACAGCGGAGGTTAACCCTCCACATGAATCATCGAGGCAAAGGAACTCCACATTTCGAAAGCATAGGCGAGAACAAACCTATGCCACCTCGCAGGCTACCAACACACTCATGGCGACCTCATTAGAACCTTTTAAGTAAAAGGCCTGATATCAGGTAATATACCATCCGTGTCCATTCGAGTGAGCAAAAGACAATGAGCATAACTACGAAGTTATATAAGCTTGCCTAGAAAATCTACTAGTGCCACCTCCAGCTATTCGACGATTAACCACATTTGCACATGTGGTGCAAAACTGCGAAAGCAGGTCTTTTTCTTTCTTTTTAGAACATCAACGCCATCAGTTTGTTCTATTGCTTACGAATGTATCTCACTGAAGGGCCAAAAGGAGATTATTTGCATATGGTACTTCCTCAGGAGCCACATAGTGGACTAAAATCGGACCAAAAGCGACCTTCCCTGACAGCAGGTGGACTCAAAAGACGAACTCTCTATTTGTGACATTCCAAAATTAATTGTGCCTTTTATATTTGCGGATGCTTCAGTTCTTTTCCATTTTCATGCAAGTGTGAGAGGTGTGTTTGCGTATTTAGAAATGGCATTCCACAAGACAAATAAGACAAAACCCTACCATCGGATGACAGAAGTGTTAGACACGGTTAGAGGAATCGCCTCCAACAAATGCCTTGCCTGCCTAGTCTGGGAAGAATTGCGAAGTAACTCATAGGTGCCAACCACAAGAAATAGTGGACTAATAAGCTTCTTTATCATAATCCTAAAAGATTCCCCGATAGAAAAACTTTGTGTAGGGCGAGTACGGGGAGGCGCAAATCTTAGCGTTTTTCTAAGCTGAATCTGGAAGGACTTAAGAATTTCTGCTTACAACGAACGCTCTACATCATCTGCATCCTCTCTGAGATTGATGACTTGAAGATGACTACGAAGGCTAAGTACGATATCGTCAGGTGCCTTGACAAGACGTCTGCTGCTTCTGACACCGACAAACTATTTATCGGAACATGAAACAACAGCAGAGTAGCAATGATGCCTCGTCAACACGAGTTTGTACATGAACACCGGTTCTTTTTAACAACTAGGGACCGGAATGGGACGTTTACCATCAAAAAGGTGTGGACCAATAACGCCGCTTACAATTTTCGTCATCTACGCATTCACATCGAGCTACAACAAAGACGAAGTCGAAGCATCCTATCCGGAAGATAAAAATGAACCTCAGAGAACGTCTGAAGAACGTCACCTCAAAACCCACGGATTAGAACTTAGTGAACAAAATAAGATGTGGCCTAAGATTGTGATGATAAAGAACACCATTCACGGTAATTCACAAGAACCCCTCCTTTCAATATCTCACGTAGGAGTGTCACAATGCTACACAACATAACGAGACAAACCACATCAAAACGAACCAAGGATTATGTTTTCTTTTAGATGAGAAAGGAAGGAAATCCACAAAGTTCAAGAAACACGAACATAACATTGCCATAAACTAGCAATCATTGAGCTCATTAGACGGTTCCTGGAAAGATACCATTGTCAACAACACAATGTAGAATAGAGAAAGCCTACCTACAGTTTTCAGAACGGTGCTACTAAAAGCCACTACTAGACATCTCTATGCAGAAATGACCTAGCTAATACGTCAATGTGTAAAACACAGAAGCCGTACGCAATCATACTAATATAAAATAATAATATTCACGTCCGAACTAACAAAAGTCTGCAGAGGGAATGAGGAATCTCATGAACAGAGGAAGATCCAACTTGGCGAAGCTGCAACGGTAAGAAAAAGCATCCAAACCCGCCCAAACTTGTCCAGTTGGAGAACAATCGTCCTAAGGCGTCCAGACGGAAGAGTCACTCCTTCCAGGAAAGCACTGGAGAAAACCATCCACGACTGCTAGGGTGATATAAGTGGATATGTCGCCCCAGACGTTGAAGAACTGCATCTGATGCGAACATTATTTGATTCCAACATCTGAAGAACTTATCTCCATTAATCGCAAACATATTTCCTCAGGTTTCCTTAGTTACATGTCAAAATGCAGAGTTCTCATTGGATGAAAGAACACCAGCACCGTGATGTTGCACAAGAAGAGAAACCCAAATGAAATAGATTACTACCGTTCAATTTGCCTATCATTTATCGTCTACAAATTCCTCATTCGAGTCATTCTCATTAGTACTGATACAACACTGGATAAAGTGAAGTTATGCTGGCACACATAGTTTCGAAAAAGACTCAATAATGATAGACCATATCCACACAAGAAGCTCATTAAAATGCCGACAGAGTACCAGAGACTGCTTTGTGGGAAAGAAACAACCACAAAAGCTCTGCACAGCTAAGACGCCCTACTCAATAAATATGCATCTCCTTAAAAATCTTTTATGAGCAACTTCGCAACCAGAATGCCGTCACTTTACATTCTACCATCTCGGTAAAACTATTTACAACAACGCAACGAATGCTAATCGATTTCAACAATGCCTTTGAAAAGATTAGTCTTCGTCTGAACCTGAAGAGAACGTTCATGAGAAACGGATTTGTTCCTAATGTCTCATTTACGTTCGTCAGAATAGATATCTCCGAACACTACAGCTACGAATATGTCGAGAAGTCGACATAATGAACCACTTTGGTCCAGAGCTGAGCAGGAGGAAGCGAAAGGTTTGGGAGACGTGGTGAAGAGGACAAAGACCATATGACTTCATATATACATTTTCGACTATGCACTTTTTTTCCACCTTAACGGACCCGGCGGAAATCTTGACGCCAGGTGAGGATGACAGCACATTCAGTTTCAAACGCGCAAACGAGATGAGAGGATTACTCCGTGTCACGCAAGTAAAAGAGATATGGAGAAGGGATTCGACCCACGTTGACTACCATTGATCAGATATATCACTATATACACCAAAAATGTGAAAATCAGCCGAAACGTGGTCCATGTTAAAGACAACTGATGGACCAAAGTCGTTAGAGACAGGGTCCGCAGGATATCAAGCGCAGAGCATAGAAGAACACCGACGCGATGATCAAGATTCGTTTTCAAGAGAGAAAGGAAGTTCGGAGGAAAACGTCGTTCTGCAACGCTGCTAAAGCGGCAAACATAACCCACTGGGTTACTCTTTCATATGAAAACGCTACTGAAAACCCAGGACATGCTGACATTGCTGAATAAAAATATTTTGGGAAGCACAACCAACAATTCAAACAAAGCTTTTTTCTTAAATTCGAACAATAAATATAGAGTTACCGTGATTCAGTGGTTAAATTTGCCCACCGTAGTTGAGAAAGACATGAAAGGCTTGGAAGTTGGTAAATGTTTCACTTCTAGTTAAAAAAAAAACATCCGGAAATCAAAATACGCTTGACGACAGCAAAATAACAATTTTGTCAAAATGCGAAGTGAATCCCAAACGATCTACCAGTTGGCAGAAATGTGTCCGAAAGAAGGAATGCGACTGAGGATAATGACATTCATATACGGAACCATACGTGGCTTTCAACCCCATCTTCCAGACTACATAGAAATCCCATAAAATCCAGTCATTCCATAAAGAATCCACAACTACCAGTCCAAACTATAGTGACAGCACAGTGCGTAACGATGAAGGCTAACGAAGCGTGAGAGGACGAAAAGATGCGCAGCCAAGGTCGTGCTATGGTCGATCTGCAATCCTCGGCAACTAACGATCTTCTCGTAAGAAATGTATATTACTGGATAAAACGAGCACATGTTCCAATTCTAGCTGAGGAATTGCAGTGAACAAACATGAGAAAAATCAGTGACACCGTGCTGATCCAACACTCTGGCATGTAACAGCAATCGCGTGTCATGTGCTCTTCAGCTGGCCCGACAAGTGCGGTGGTGAAATTAGAAAAATAAGACCGAGGAAAGTAGGAAAGGTTTCCGATAGTAGTTATATGTATACGGACGTCTATGACCGATGTGTGTTTGTTTGTGTACGTGTATACATTTGTAAGAGTGTGAAAATATGTCACGGTAACGAGATAACCTTACTAGATTGCAATCACATCCTGCGCAATGGACGACTGAGAAACCGTCGTTACCGTCCCCGCTCATTCACTTAAAATTCCAACTATACATCCAGAAATGCAGAAATCCCAGTACAGGATCTGCAAACAGCATGCCAGTATTTCAATACTTCTTACATTCTGAAAACAATAAGCTAGATTGAGCTAAATAGATACAACTTCACTAACAGAGAACCGAGAGCCTTGGTGAAAAACACCCAGAAGATCACCGAACACCGTCCTACTATGTCGACGCCGGTCCCTAATTCGATATAGCTCAGAACCAACCGCTATAAAAACTTTACCAGAACGAAAAGCAATTCACTAACAAAGAATGGAAATTAAAATAGACACTGCTACTGAATCACTGTCAATAAGAATAAATGTGGTACACGATAGAATTGGTATAATGGAGAGTTACTGCTAAACACCCAAGCGTCATTTGGCAAACAGAATGATCACAACGTAATCGACCCGAGTTGAAATACACAATCCACAACGATCGATCATTCTAACAACGACGTAGCAAAATTCCCAAACTGCTGATCTCACTACTAACTATAATATACGTACCTATTTCTACTACTATCTAGCATCTTAAGTTAACTCCTAGGAATCCGGTAGATAACAGCCAAGCAGATAAGTAGGTAAGTAGTAGATAAGAGTATGGAAAGCAACTAATGAAAAAGAAAGAATCCCGTAAAATCCTTCATTGCTAAACCAAATAACTTGGAATTTCAATATCGAACTTTAACTGTTGCGGATATAATGTCTAACTTCTTACTTACTGACTAGTATTTTTTCACAGCAGGGTATTATGTGAAATACAAACACAATGATGCTGAGATGCTCGCAAAACTTTGGACTGCGGGTGTCTGCGGTGAGGAACGAACGCGCTATTACTCTTTCCGGGACTAATGCGTTCACCACCACACCATGCGGGTCCTCCGTTTCGCCTGTCTCTCAACTAGTTTTCATCGATCACTGCCATCAGCATAAAAAAAATGGTAATAGACATTAAATGAAAAAGCTAACATACACTTTAAAAAAACTTTTAAAAACTGCACAGCAGGTTCAGCTCGTTGGAAAGAAGACATCAACAGGATTATGTCTCCCCTCTAGTTACCTTTCTATGACCATTATGAATAGATCTAAGCAGATCATACTCATTATAAAACGTCAGCCTGGTAACGTTTTATGGTCGATACGGTCAGGAAATCCTGATTCATATTTAAACTGTGGAAAGACTACTAGACCGCTAATATTTCCTCGAATGTTGTATTACTATTTGCCACTGCATAGGTCATGTCGTCCAGAAATTTCAGATGTCAAAACATCATTTCCCACAAATCTACTTCTACGAATTCAAACTCAGATGTGGTCTTGCGCAAACATGTCGAAACATTAATGAGGTATGAGGGCAAAGAGCTCTTAACGAAGGCACAGTGCAACATTGGTTTGGGAAATGTCTTCGTGGCGAATACGACCTTGAAGATGAGGGAGGTCGTCAATGTCTTTCTGCTATTAACGACGACGAAGACTTGAAGCTTTCCTGTCAGCCAATAAACATATAGTTTTTCGACAACTTACAGAAGAACTCAATGAACGCATTTCAATTGTTTCAGAGCATGTAAGTAAAATTCGAAAAAGGGAAAGAAGCTCGACGAATGGATGACATACAAATTCAATAAAAATAAAAAGTAGCCGTTCTGCGGCATTATCGGCGCTTCTTTTGCGCAACCAGGACGGCCCATTTCTTCAAAGTATTGTGATATGTGATGAGAAATGGACCCTCTATGATACTCGACGACGATCGTTCAGTTTCGACAGAGATGAAGCTCCGCAGCACTTCACTTCCGGAAGCAGGAATTGCACAAAAAGAAAGTAGTACTGACTGTTTGGTCGTCTACACCTGGAATGACCCATTATGGCTTTCTGAAACTGGATGAAGCGATTAGGGCAGAGAGGTACGCCAAGAAAATCGATGAAATAAACCAGAAGCTTCAACGGTTGTGCCGCACATTGGTCAACAGAAAGGAAACAATCCTTCTCCAAAATTACGCGCTGCCATATGTCCCACCACAATGCTACAAGGGTTGGACGAACTGAAGTATGGAACTTAACCTCATGTCCATCATATTCGTCAGACCTCTCACCTACTGAATGCCACTTCGAGCATCTCGACAAATCCCTATACAAGAAACCCTTCAGGAACCAATGCCAGTCCAAAACTACCTTCAACAACTTCAACTTCCAGATAACCAGAATTTTATGCGACTGGTATAAACCAAGTTGTTCCTCGTTGACAAAAAAAATGTCCAACTTTGTTTAATAAAGTTTATTTTGAGCTGAAATATGCGTCTTCCAAAATACAGAATGAAATGGCCATTGATTTCAGGGGAACTTAATTTAAAGGTCCAATAATACTATATTATCTTCCATCTTCCTCAAATGGTTTTCGAGTTGTTCGTTAACGCAGGAAGCACAGAATCGAAAATGTGGGCAGGATAGTCGATGGTAACGAAGAATGGAGAGCCCAAAAGATATTCGAGTTGATGTGAGAACAACAAGGATTTTCCCGTAAGTTCTACTGCAATAGGACAGCTTTTGCATTAATTCGTTAGCAAAGCGATACTTGCTTTCCATGGACCTTAAATTCAATTCTAAACCATTGTTTTCTTACGACCTTATCAGGAGTAGTGCTCAATAATGTGGCGAAAGATACCATCGTGCCGGACCCTTGCCTTATGTTGATTTTAACGTTAAAGTGGAGTGGATATTGTTGTGGGATAAAATAAAGGATAAAGCTCTTGGCGTTGATCAGTTCCTGAGGAATGCGCCACGCATTCGACCGCATCAAACATGGTTGGAGACGAATGAATGCATATGTGGCCTTTACAATCACTCGCGGTGTACTAACTATGTATCGATCCACTGCTGCTATCCTCCCAGACAAGCCTGGTACCAATTTGCCAAAACCGAAAGGATAGAGGGCTTGGTGAGCCTGGAGCAAGATCGATCCCATATGTACTGGACGCCTCCTACCACTGCGCTGTGGGAGTGCAGCATAACTCACTTAGAGACAGGCGAAACGAAGGACCTGCATAGTGTGGCGGTGAACGCGTTACTCCCTGAAAAGGACGATAGCGCGTTCGTTCCCCACCGCAGACACCTGCAGTCCGGAGTTTTGCAAATATCTCACCATCATTGAAGGTATAATTCACTTAGTTTTTGCGTACTAAACAGTTACGGTATGGATTGATTTGCTAATTATGTTACCATCCGCCTTAAAAGAGACGAAGATCTTTTTTAATTTCGAAATACTTCAGTGAGTTTCGCAATCCATTGGATAAGATCCGTAGTTCTGAATCCTCCAAATAAAGAAGGCAGCCTTACTAAAGGCAGCCTTTTAGAAGACAGCCATAAGAGAGATAAGGTGATGATTTCCAATGTCACGTAGGTCACCACTTCCGTTCACTTTTCAGGAATAGATCACTACCACAGGACCCTCAGACAAAAACCTGATGGTTTCTCTTTTCTTTTTGAATTTCACAAATCTAGACTTGCAGGCACCATTATGCAAAAACGAGACAATCTCGATGAACAATGCTATACACAAAGCAAAATTCTAACGATGTGTTGTGGTATCATATTTACATGATTTTCAAAGCTTGCTGATTTAGTGCTGAGAAACTTTTTCTACCTGGAATTGTTAATCACTGTCGATTCGTACCTAAACTGATGTAGCAATATTTTGCTAAAACATTAAACCTTAGTATTTTGTTTCCTTTTTCAGCAACCGCGAGGTTGTTATTAAGCACGCGTTTACTTCCACGCAAATAGAACACATACAACACACCGGTAGGTGACGTTTCGGGAGAATCGCCTTCTTCAGAGCTTGGAAGGGTACACTAATACGCAACTTACTAGGTCAAACGCTTCAACAGCACAAACAGAAGGATGAAAATCTGAACGATAATTACAAGATCTCTTCTCGAAAAACCCACCGCTTTTTTCACCTGTCTTCCATCGAGGAAGAACAGCCGCTCAGAATCGCATATAGTTGACATGTTTAAATCCTACAATGAATAGCAGGGAACAGTGCTCATAGATCATACGTGATGTCGCCCCGTACCTTCGTATCGGTCGTTGATGTGGCGTGATGCAGTCACCAACCATATGCGACTCTGAGCGCCTGTTCTTCCTCGGTGGAAGACAGGTGAAAAAAGCGGTGGATTTTTCGAGAAGAGATCTTGTAATTATCGTTCAGATGTTCATCCTTCTGTTTGTGCTGTTGAAGCGTTTGACCTAGTAAGTTGTGTATTAATGTACTCTTCCAGGCTCTGAAGAAGGCGATTCTGCCAAAACGTCAGCTACCGTTGTGCTGGATGTGTTCTATTTGCATGGAAGTAAACGCGTGCTGAATAAAAATCCCGCGGTTGCTGAAAAAGAAAACCAAATATTTATAATCCAATGCCAAAGTTAATAGGAAATCGATCTTGGGAACTATGAAACCTTAACGTTAGGAAAATTGTAAAGAACCTAATTTTAAATAAGTATCTTTGGAGTAGTCAATCTACCACATTAAATGGGAAAAACAGGTCTTACCTGTCTGAAGAGATTGATTCAAACATTCCCAATCTACGCTCTACAAGACTACGGCCCAACGAACGAGTGGCACTACTCTCAAGATGTCGCGGTGATCTGATAAAACAATCACAGGAGAAGAGTATTCTTCAAAATCCAAATAGTGTCAGAAAAAACGACTGTACTATATTTACTTCGTGTACCCATTCAGAGCGCAACTGACTCGTATGTAGCTCGGTACACGGTATGCCGGTGTACCACATTCGGCAACAGCAAGATTATCTTCGGACACAAATTGAGAAACACCTGTCATAGGTGTAAGAGCAACATCCTAAAATTGAAGACGAGGTATTCTTCTCAGAAAATGAACCTCATTTAGTGGTCATAGGCCATTCAATAATGAGATTTAACACATCTAGCCTACATGTTATTATGTTAGAATAAACGCAAGCTATAACGAAACTGTAATAGACCTAAGAATAAGAAATAAAGAAGACTCCAGTAAGTATCGTTGAAGGTGACTGAGTGCATCTCTGGCCTTTCCAATGAATAGCGGTGGCGTACCGATGTATTGAGCCAGTGCTGCTATCCTCCCAGAAAAATCTGGTAACAATCTATCGACTCCGGAGGGATGAAGGGCTTGGTGGACCAGGTGCGCGCAGATTGAACCCATGTGTATTACAGGGCGCCTCCGACCACTGCGCCACACGCGCCGATAAAAAAAAGAACAAGAAACGACTCAGATAAATGCGCAACGAAGAAAAAGAACGGAAGTGAAACTGTTACATATGCGCACTTCCGCATATTTACATTTATCATGCAGTGTATGAGCTCAAGTATTAATTCAAGGCGTACAAATCGACTGAAACAACTTCGAAACTCAACCAGTACATGTTCGTAGCAGTAAGAACATACCGTGCCACGACAAACAGTTACATGGCGGAGGTCACTCTCACTCATTGCTGATCGTGGAGTGCTAAGTTTTGCCTGCTGAATGGTCTTACCAATGTCATGTGGCAACGTATGGGTCTCATCCTAAAAGTGAAGAAATCCTACGTTAAAACACAACTATTCTACAAAGCAGCTATAAAGCGAACAACCTTCGAAAAGTGCCCGTCAAGCTTTCCACTAGACTTTTTTGATTTCCTTCGCGATAATTTATGTATGAATGAGCCAAATAGATGTGGACTATGGCAGAGATCAGCACTAGAAACAATCCATTAATAGGCTAACAGAACTAAATTAAGCACTATTGAGATAGAAGCAATCGCTTTCTAATAATTCGCTCTTCAAATAATTTGATTCAAACGCTGTAATTAACCTCCCAACGGTTCACCGCCTCAACTTGACTGGGAGATTTTCCTGTGTGTCGAGCTCTGATATGCAGCGGGAAGATTCGTCCGCCTAGCTGGGTCTCCCAAGCTGAGAAGCAGTCCGGCGTTTCGATCAGGAAGCCTAGCTAAGAGTAAACCAATACCAGGATCCACCACGTTCCTAGGATCAAACTAGTCGCATGGTGGTAAAACTCCCTCGGATCAACATTCGTGGCGACTGCCCGTGGTGGTGACGACCTAGGGTGGACTTTAGCTAGGTTTTCCTTGGGACTCCAGGGAACCACAACAGCTAAACAGCAAATCTCCGAAAAAAATGGAAATTTTGCTGGGGCCCGCACAACCAGTGGGGAGGTGCCATCTAAGTATTCAAATATCCAAGAACGCTAATTCTCAAATACCCTAGTTATCAAAAAAAACTCGTGCAATCGTTCAAGCGTCGAATGAAAAATTTTTTTAATGTTTCAGCTAGTCTCGAAAACGTTCCTGTGAAAATTCAGGTTCAAAAAAAAGTGACACCCGTTCTCTCTATTTCTGTACAAAAAAGCTTAAAAATGTCTTCCATGCCTCTACAAACTAACCAATCTACATCATTTGCACAACCATCGGCACCGGAATGTGCACAATGATTCTTGCAGGTTTTTGGCGTTTCAGATGACAGACGAGACACAGCCGGACTTTTGCTTCGAACACGTCGACCTAATCTTGCAAAGAAACTCCCTGGAAACAATTCGGTAAGAAAGAATTTTAATCGGAGAATTTTTATGAACTCTCACCTCTGGGTACCCTCTTTCTTGTATCTTCACCCGACATTTCCCGTTATCAGACCTTAAATCGTTGTGAAAGCCGAGATAAATGTTCAAAACTACAACAAAACTTCTCTAAAGAACCTAAAAAATCCAAATTGAAGCAATAAAGTTCTACGCGAAGTATTGTACAGGGAGTGTCTACGCCTATAGTCAAAGTTTCTATGATATTTCTAACTGATTTCCATTCAACATAAGAAAAAAAATCAATAACAGAACACAATAAAAACAAAAATGCATGTACGAATGATGTACAAGAACACATCTGTTATTACTAGAATAAAAGAAAACAGCTTAAATGTACAGTAGTAAACAACTATGAGGAACAGCACATTGCAACAAATCCTGTAACATCTAAGCAACAATCTTATCGCCCGCAAAGTAGATCGGATAAAACCTCTAGTCACAGCACAGCAAAAGAACAGCGTAAAAGTCCACAAGATACTAGTAAGCCTGAAAGGTTAGGCTAAAGATTTGACAACAACTTCCAACTGTACCCAAAAAGTCAAGCCGATTGTACAAGGAAAGACGACGTCGGGCTATTCACTAAGGAAACAAAATTTGAGGACCATATGATTACGAAGGATAAATAACAACAACTCGAAAGTCAGTAATCATAAAATTATGAATTCAAAAGCACAAAAAATGGTTGCAGCATCAAATCCTTGTGCAGGTAACGTACGGATCAATCCGATTCGTCAGACTTACTTGAGTAAACATCGTCATTATTTTGAGGAGATGCCGTACTTCTAGACACTTCCGCACTTCCATCGTCATTCATTGCTTGCCGCGCCTTTAGTGATGAAAGTTGTTTAATTATGCTACATTATAACTGACTCTATATCATACAGAATCGTATGAGCATCAAATTTCTCCACACCTTCCATTCTGCAGTTAGGCGTGCCTCTTCCGCAAGAGCTTCCTGCTCTATTTCACCTCCGAGCAATGCGGGTTCCTTGATATGCTTTGCAAGTGGCTTCGACATACTAAGATAATGTATTTTTGTATTTTCACGAATCATATTACGAATGAGCCTTAAGACAATGACTGTTATCAGCAAATACACGCATTCTAAAAACTATTCTATGGAAATCAACCAAAACGACGCTGAGATATTGGCAAAACTCCGGACGGAAGGTGTCTGCGGTGGAGATCGAACACGCTATTACTCTTTCCGGAGACTAACGCGCTCACCACCACACCTTGCGCGTCCATCGTTTGCCCTGTCTCTTATCTAGTTTTCTATCTATCAGTGCCTTCAGCAGTCACCCGTCAATGGGATTGATCTGGGAGCCCAAATTGGCACTGAATCCAGTCAAGCTGAGGTTGCAGTCGAAATCACAATGTTAGCTTTTTATTTATTGCCTAGTACAATTTCATTCTATGTAGCACTTACGAGAATGCTCTAAAACGTTTACACGTTCCGAAGACACCTTTCAGTTTATCATCTACGAAGCAGAAACGTTTATCTTTTGGATCGAAAAGGTTGTTGGCTCTGAGATACTCCCACATCTTCGCTATAACCTAAAAGAATGAAAATGATGAGAAGGCTATGTAATTGGTATTAGGAACTCACATCACATCTCTTCATGAAGCGAGCTCCCACGATACTTTGGAGTTCCTCACTCAGCAAGCAAAGTTTTGTCATACGACCAAACTTTCCAGAGTGGTCTTCCTTCGGCGCGTTTTTATCTCTCTTCTTCGACTAAAACCATGAGTAAATTAAAACCGATAGCACTCTTCAAGGTCATTCAGTCTATCAGTACTCTGTCAGTACGATCAGCAGTCTTCTTCAATATCTGAACCGCTCTGTCAGCTGCTGCTCTTCGCCGATGTTTTACTGCTGTCATCAAGTCGACTTCTCCGTCATTATTCTCGGCCTGGAAAATCACAGAACCACTTGCTTTTAATCAAATCACCCAATGGGTTTAAATATATGTTCCAAATATTTCGAAAGATAAAAGGATAAAGAATAAAGCTCTCCGCGTTGATCAATCCCTGAGCGATTCGCTATACATTCAATTTCATTAAACATCGTTGGAGGTGATTGAATGCATAACTGGCCTTTACAATAATATGCGGTGGCCTGCCAATGTAACGAGCCAGTGATATTATCCTCCTAATAAAGTTTGGGACCAATCTGCCATCCCCGGAAGGATAGGCTTCGTGGGCCTAGGGCGAGGGATCGAATCCATGTGTAATCGCAGGTCGCCTCTAGCCACTGCGCAACATTTCCCCCATTTCGAAGGATAATGTTAAGGAATAGTTCAGATTTTACTAGACCCTCATCTCATAAAGAAGAATTTTCAAGAATCTGGAGCATCTATTTCGAAAATGAAAGAGAGGAACGAGTACTACAATCCTTATAATCATTGTCACCTCGAACCTGTTCCGTAATATAATGATTTTTCTTTCATACTAAATAACGAACCAAATTCCGAACTTATGAAGAAAACAACGCACTTTCCTTTTGAGACTACGCTTCTTTTTCGGGTAAATATTTCTGTCATTGACGACATCTTCATCAGAACTATCACTGTCACTTTCAGAAGGATGAGGGGGACCTACCGGACTGAAAAATAAGCACTGAGTGGATAAATATACACAAAAATATGTAAATAAATAACGAAAAGTGCTGAGGATACTTCGGCACGGCTTCAGCAGAATGGCTGGACGACGCCTCTATCGTCTTTTCTCTCCTCTCAATGACTTTCCTTGTTAATTCATCCACCTCTTTTCGATAGCCATCGAAATTTTGATTAAAAGTAGTCTAAATTTCACAAATTTGTAAAGAAAGGTGGAAAAAAGTGCAAAATATAGCTACTGAAAGATTACGCTAAGATGAGCCCGAATTTTCGAGCTAGTAAGCTTTTCCAATCCTTCGAGCTTAATCATCTTTTCGATGGCATCCATAGCTTCATTCCGATTGACGGGAAATGTATCATCATCGGACGACGACATCTCTGTAAGAAATAGTTCTCTGTACTTGTCGGTTTATGAAGTAAGCGATCAACCATCCGTACTTATAATGTGTGCATACATAACCATATACATTATATACGTATCGATTGACACATTTCTCACGAGTCAATACGTTATGAGAAGTGAGAAGCCATGAAAGATGCACTACAAACAACTTTTGGGCAATGCTTTGCTGTAAATGTGCCAACACCTACGATTTCCTCACTCACAAAGTAAAAAATAGAACAGAATTCCAGCACCACAATTTTGTAGGAGGAACCGCTACCGATGACAAATCTATCGAGCCTTCAGCAGTTGCTTCTGCTTAGATCATAGTGCCGAAAAGGAAAAAACTACCAAATACAGCCTCAGACAACGTTCTAGTAAATTTCCGACCCTACTTAGCTTGTTATAGTGTTTTGTAGAAAATGCGAAGAACATCCCACTTTTTTCATAGACTATTCGGCAGAAGAAACGAACACGATTTATGTAAAGACCCAGAAACTACCAACTGTGACCAACAAAAGATGTTTTCATAAGATTTCGTGGATTTGTTTCTTGAATTCTGGAACGGGCAACACAGAAAACGAGAAACGCGCCCCATGGCGAATCATTGGCGCGTGTTCAAACGTCTTAATTTAACTCACTTCGTCCCGGGAAGAAGCCAAACTGTACATTTTTAGTTCATTTTATTTCGGAGTTTTTTCTGTCGCACCGTTTATACAGTAATATATAATTGCACAAACTAAACAATAGCATGCTTGTAATTAACGGTACACGATAGAACGACAGAGCAAAGTCTCTTCTCCAATCCTTTCATGTTAGTGATGCAAGCACCCCCCACCTCAGATTCCTTCAGGTGTTTAGGAAGGATTTTTTTTATCGTCAACATAGCCGCCAAAAAACTATTCGTAATGGGTTAATGGGCAAATTTTTGCTTTGTCAGCATAACTTCTATTTCCTGTCCACACAACTTATAATATCTAGTACATAAAAGTTCATTCTTTTTGTACAGTCAGGACTGGTGCGAGGTATTACTAACTGAGGTATATTTTAAGACTAGGCTGCATTCCCCTCCAACAGTTTACCGCCTTTCTGGGCGTCGGACTGCGTTGTACAGCTGGGGGAATCGTCCCCCGGCAGGGTCTCCTAAGTTGAGAATGAGTCCGGCGTTTCCATCAGGAGTCCCAGCTAAGAGTAAACCAATACCAGGATCCACCACTTTCCTAGTATCAAGATCGTGTGGTGTTGACGTCCTACAGCAGACGGGCTGTGCTGACCTCGTTACTCCAGAAAAACACGATGGCTAAACCAGCAGTTCTCCGAAAAGTGGAAACCATGCCGGGGCCCACGCAACCAGTGAATATAGGTTAACCATGTATTCAGGTATCCAAGTAGATGGGTCATATTTATGAATTCTAAGCACGGTACCCATACGCGAAGTCGACCTATTGTTTTGTATTGCTTTTTTATGATGTGTCATGCATACAGTCTAACTTATGACGTTGGATCCATCCTCACTCATTCTCGTAGTGGATTGCACAGCTTACTCTTTCAGCCGTCTTTTCCATCTTTCATCAATTTCTCTTCTAATGTGTGATGATTATCGGTGTGTTCCGATGAAATATTCCTTCAGGCCAGCCATAAAGATGGGATATTTGTAGGTTGCCACATTAAACACCAGCCTGACTTCGATCCACAACTCTCGAGCGACGTTTTGCTATTCTACGGATTCTGCCAACAAGACCCACCAACGCTTCTATAACGCCTACTAGTGTATTCTATCAAGGTGGTGATTCATTCTCTATTGGTCCACCATGAGACTATCGAGTCATTATATCATTATTTCTGGTTACTAAAATTATCTATATTGTTTTACAGAGTCATTCATGCTTCCGATGCTTTTTTGCCTTCTTTTATGATGGAAAAGAACCAGGTACTAGAATCAGGTTGGTTTTATCCTTTCACCTTCTGTCTTGCTTCTTTTACTGTCTATTTCTTTCTTATTTAAAAATGTTTTGACATAGCATTATGTATACTTCGTAATTGGAAAAAAGTTTTGTTGAACGACAAGATTGTTGGGTTCTATGCTGCTGACTTTTTAAAATTTTTATTTAATCCATACGTATTTTTCACATACTTTTCACAAATAAGGAATAGTTGCACCTTAAGTGAATTAAGGTAGCTTACTCATAGTTGCTTCGTGAGCCTGCGTACTACAATTCTGTATAAACATTTTGGCTTCACTACTTTAACTTCGCGTGTGACATATCTCCCTAAAGGAAAAATTCCACAATCAGGATAAAAACCACTAGAATTCTCATATTTTTACTAGCAGAGTAGAGTTATTCCCTCACGGTGATTGTTCATGCGTCTCGTTAATTTTTTGACGGTACTCGGCTCTAGTGGCCCATCTCTTGGAAGTAGTGGTTGGTCCCACTTGTTAGTGACATTTTATGAAAATTTGGCTTAGTGAAGTGTTTGGGTATTTCACCACTGTTGAAGGTCGCACAGCAAGTGTTTAGTAGTTGTACGGAACCTACTTTCAGTTCTAACACTAATTGTGATCGAGAAACAAATCCCTTTTATTACGCAGAAGAAGCAAAAAGCAAAATTTAGTAGCGAAAATCCCTGGTTCTTATTAAATTTAGGCCCCACATGTTTTCCGAGGCTTTTAGAAGTCCCAACTCTGTTGAATTATCCCGAAAATTCCTACGACCGGGTTTCTGTTAACCTCGGTATTGATCAGATAATTCTTTATATTCTTGTTGAGAAAACACGACGTGTTATTTTATTCTTTATTCAAGAACAGGCTGACGTTTCGGCAGATTTCGCCTTCTTCTGTGCCTGGAAAGGTCAAGTTAACAGCAATCTACCCAGCCAAACACTTCCATAACCAAACAGAGAAAATGCCAAACCAAGATCTTAACCTTTTTATTTATTTACTGCTTATTCTTTTTAACGGCAGGATATGTTGCGAAATATAGCTTGTATAATGCTGAGATATTTGCAGAACTCCGAACCGCAGGTGTCTTCGGTGGGGAACGAACGCCCTATTGTCCTTTCCGGGGAATAACGCGTTCACCACCACACAATGCGGTTCCTTCGTTTCACCTGTCTCTCAGCTAGTTCTATCGTTCAAGTTATATTTCGCAACATACCCTCCATTAAAAATAATAGGCAGCGAATAAATAAGAAGGTCAAGATTTTGATTATATAACTGTAGCCTCAGCTTAACTGGGTTTCATGCCGATTTAGGGTCTCGAGATCAATCCCGTTGACGGATGATTGCTGATGGCAAGCGTTCGATAGAACTAGCTGAGAGACAGGCGAAACGCAGGACCCGCATGGTGTTGTGGCGAACGCGTTGCTCCCCGAAAGGGACAATAGCGCGTTCGTTCCCCACCATAGATACCTGCGATCTGGAGTTTTGCAATTATCTCAACATTATACAAACTAAACCAGGATTTCAAACAGACTGAACACAGAATAGCTTTTTGCGCACTCACTGCTTTCTATGAGTCTTCCACTGAATTAGTCATGTGGACACCAACCGTACAGAGTTCACACGGAAGTGTAATGTGCCTCTCACATTAAAGTAACACTTTTAAATACTGTCAAATATCACGCATAATTTTGAGGCATTTCTTCCTGCGGTTCATTTTCGGATTCTTGGAATTAATCCAAATAGCCTCAAAAACTTCGAGCGCTTTTTTTCCCTCAAAATATTATCTTGCTTACCATTGGTTCTTCCACATTTGGAGCTCTTGAACATAGATCCATTCCGCATAACGTCAACAGTGTAGATGCCAACAATTGGTTAAATTGATATTGCTTTATTCACTTTTTTGTATAGAGGGCCTGGGTTGCGTGCAAAATCATGTAAAAACAACGGCCTTGAAGTTCAAAACATATAGCGGAAGCTATGCTGTAAAAATATATGTAGTTTTGACGTAAGGAGATAACGCCATGGTTAGTGATACAATACATCGGAAAGCATCGTGCTGGTTCGACCTCTTTCCCAACACTCTACTCCAGTCCACGTGGGATCGCTTGGGCTCTGCTATCTGCAATATTGCCAGAAGAATGGATTCGACAAGCGTCAAGTCACTCTGCCAACGTTTGAAGGGGAAGACTGGAAATCACTCTAGTTTTGGGAATAAATGATTGATTTCGTAACGAAAGTAGGATTTGCAAAACTTTCGTCTTGGTATGAGTCACGAAAATAATCATGCACAGGTGACGCGTCCCAGTGAATTTGCTTTATGAAATGCTTTGACAAAGAATAGCGAGTATTTCCCGGACAAACACTCCTGTCGCAACAAGGGACAGAATTCTTCACTTCTTCTTGCGGTGGACATCGAAATTAGTTTGATTTTTTCATTTGCATATGCAATATGAGAGGTGCAATTTGTACTGTCTATCACTTGAAATACAAAATCACCCGTCAGCGGGATTGATCTGGGGAGTACAAATCGGCATTAAACCCAGTTAATCTGAGGCTGTAGTCGAAATCACAATGTTAACCTTTTTATTTTCGGCCTACCATAATTTTTCACGGCAGGGTATGATGTGAAATGCAACCACAACGATTCTAAGATATTCGCAAAACTTGGACACCGAACAAGATCGAGCCACCATTACTCTTTCCGAGCGTTCGCCTTGCCGGTGATTACTGATGGCAGCGTTAGGTAGGAAATTAACTGAGAGAAGCGCAAGGCAAGCCCCTCGGTGGTACAACGTGTAGTACGCGAGCCCCCGGAAAGGGTATTCGTGGTTAGATCTGGCCCGGTCTCCAAGTTTTGCGAATGTTTTAGCATCATTATGGTTGCATGTCACCGATTAGTTCGTGTTTCCTTCATTAGTGCGTCAGTTTGTCAATTGCATACTTGTGGCCCCTATACTAATGCTTCCTAGGTTATTCCCCCATCGATGTTCCTATCATTCCCATCTTAAATACAAAAGTATTGACGCTATTTTTTTTGTACCAAAATAGCTGCCAAGGATTCTCGATCACATGGTTTCGTCTATCTGCATTGTGAACTTTCATTGTTTTTAATTGAGTGAAATCGAACATCGTATTTTCAAAGCACTGAGAATAAATGTAATGAGATTATACCTTCACTGCCTTTCATCATCTTCGTACACACTGTCCATTCGCTTTTAAATCCTCCATAGCTTGAATTTCGAAACTCTGAAGGTACCCTGAACCTTTCAATGTTTGTACATTTAGAACAAATCGGGTATTCCGTTTTATTAAATCAGGATACGACATCTTCGAAGTGATTTTTTCGTTGCTTGAACTGGTTTTACTAATTTTAGACAGTGGTGATTTTCAACTTACTTCTATCCAGTTGAAAATGGTGAGAGAGGCGAATGATCCGGTCATTTGTGTCTCAGAGGGTAAGTGTGATGATATGCACGTTTTTCTTTTCTTTGTGAAACCATACTTATTCTTCAAGATTAAGATTCCAAATCTACGAGGTTCAGCGAAGTTGATTTAAGAAGGGCAGTTTATGATGCGATCGTACAGTTGTCAGAAGTCGTCTCAGAAAGGGTGCTGAAAATGCAGGTGAGATGGTGCCTTTATCTTCATTATAGCAGTTTTTTTCCATGTCCATCCTAGCTTCCTTTTCTTCATTGCACCGCTTGGGATGAAGTTATTGAGGAGCGTTTTATTGGAACTCCCCATCTATGTGGATTTCCGACATGCACCAAAGTAGTCAAAATGCGTAAGAAGAAGCAAAGATATCACATAGACAGGCAAGCACGGAAGGTTTGTTTACTTCCATGATCTTAAAGAATTTCGTAAAATTTGAGAAAAAAATTTGGTTCTCTTCAGATTTATGAGAATCGAATAGAGAGTGATATGTACTGTTCGCGTCGTTGCATGCTTCGGTCAGCTGCCGTACGAGCACAACTAGCTGACGAGCCCTTGTGGTTAACGGGTAATATTCAAAAAAGGATAAGTACGCTTAAGATATATATAGGATTTTGCATATTGAAAGCTGACGTAGGGTATGAAATCGTTTTGTACTTAGGTTCGCCGTACTCTATCGAAAGTGTGCTCGAAGTTAACGATATTATCTCGAAAAACGCTAAGATTGAAATTGTGCGTGCTGTTCAGGAAAAGCTTAGCGACTTAAGAGTCAGAGAAGCAGATTCATCGACAGCTTCTGAAGCTGAGGCGGAAGAGGAGTCTGAAACGGTACCATTTTATTTGTAATCTTCTAGAGTCCCGGAGAGTTGGTTTGGGTTGGATTAGTAAAGTCTAAAATTGGCCTTAAAAGTCGAAGTTTCGAAATAGATTCTGGTTGACTCTAGGTGCGTTTCAAAGTTATAGAGAGTAAAAGCTCAATAGTGACTACTATCTTATTTGTATAGTATAATCCATACACATTTTCAACCTATACAATTTGAATCTTTCTTCAACTTTCGTTTCTTGGTTAAGCATATCAGTCGTTACACCCTGTGATCCACTACGCAAGATACATCTTTAGTTATTAAGATTTCGATCCATTTGCAGTGATGAATGTGGTGTCTCATATCTAGCAAATTGGGGACCTCTGTAATTTATATAACATGTGATGCAATTTATGTGGTATTTGGCTCGTGTCTTCGAAAACGTAGCTACTTGAAGAACGATTTCAGTTTAGCTCAGGTATTCTAGGATCGTTCCTCATTCTCCTTCCTGTGTTCACAAGACATGTGTGATTAAAGGGATGATAACTGGTATATACTTCAGCTATGGAGGTGGTGTTGGTAGCGGAGCGGTAGAGACATTGTTCAATAGTACACGCGAAACTCCGGTTTAACCCCACACTGGCCAAGCAGAGGTCCGGTTCCTTCGTGGTCGGGAAATTAGTAGTGCATTAGTCTGAGAAGTTCTCTTCGATCCATAAACACCTGTGCTGAAAACCAGGGAGCCCCCTTAAACGGCTATCCAAAGATAGTAATCAACTCGACCAGAATTCAACGACATTCATCAAAAACGCAGTCCTCGAGTGACAGCTGAACGTGCGCACAAATTCCAAGGCTTTCGTGACTTTGGATGTGAACTGAATAGCAGTACTGGAATCCGCACAGTATATTTTTCGGACCATGTACGAATACGAAAGTGGAAGCCGCAGAACTGTTTATATATGTATGCACGTATGTATGTTTGCGTGCATATGTATATATATGTATATATGTAAGTATATATGTACATAGGTATGTATATATGTACACGTGCGCATGTATATATGTAGTATATATAAGCAGGTATATATTTATTGTATATGTATATATATATATATATATATATAATCTTACCGTTTGATCAGAGGCGCCTTGCAATACACATGGGACCGATTCCCGCGCCCCAGGACCATCAAGACTTTCATCTCTCCTGGGTCGGCAAGTTGGTGCTAAACTTGTCCGAGAGGATGACAGCACTGGCTCGATGGATCGGTAGGCTACCGCGAGCCATTGTAAAGGCCAAATATGCATTCGATCACTTCCAACGATTTTTAATGAAATCCAGCGCACAGCCCATTCCACAGCTATTGATCAACGCCGGGACTTCCTAGCTTTTTGTATATATATATATATATATATATATATATATATATGTATATGTGTGTATAAGCTGGAAAATACACTTGTCACGTTGTAGTTTCCTTAGTGGTCTCAAAGAGGTGCTACTTGATCCTTGATATCCATAAAGAGTTTTTTCTGGTTCTATGTCTGTCTGGTTCCTTGTGATACTTGCGATATTAAGGAGTTGGCGAGAAAAGTTACGTCGTGTATCGTTAATATCACAAAAATCTCCTTTCCATTTTCGACTGTTCCACTTTGATTCTGCTGGGTTTTCATCCGCCCTCTCTTCAATCTTTTTTAAACAACATAATTGAGTTGTTTTACTGTTTTTCTGACACATGTCATTTATGTGGGAATTTTTTGGAGAGAACTCTCAGTCAGCGAGACTTCTGGATATATTGGCAAAACGCAAATTTTCTTCTTAATTGTGCAAGGAACACATCAGTGCTCATCATTACGTTTTTGCAAGTCTGTAAACTCTTAAATGTACGACTGGCAAGTTCATTAAACAAGTCGGCCTTGTGCAAAGTTTCCACTCTACTGCAAATCCCATTGTCCTTAAAATAATAGTGAACGATCACCTTTTCAAACTGGACTATGTAAGCAAAATAAAAGTCACCATCTGAAAGCACTGGGCTACGAATCTTTTCATTCTATTAACACTTTCCGGTTCTCTCGACTTGTCCTCTTTTTCGGATGTGTTTACTTTCATCTTCAAATCCGAGTAATAAACCGTAAATATTTATTTATATGATCTTATAAACTGTTCTTCTTTAGCTGGTGCAAGGTTGGTATAGGTCTTCGTTGTTGTTGTCGTTCTTGTTGTTGGTCGTTTGCTAACGTTTCGACGATTTCGTCTTTCTCAGGACCTGGACGTATTGTATATAATAATAATAATACTTTATTTCTTCGGTGGAAAAAAGACTAAAGTATTTAAAACTAAGCCATATTGGTCAGAAAGGCTACTCACCGTGATGTTAGGAGTGGGATTGGCCCACGAGTTGTTCAGGTGTGGTCGTAAGTAAGACACACCTAGGGGTTCTATCCGGTTCATCTTTGGATTTTTGAAATTTATCCAAAAAGCCTCAAGAGTTTTTCGCTCAAAATCATCACCGTTGTGCTTTTGTGCCTTGTGTGTGTCTAGAGGAGTACTTTGAGGATTTTTAACTTTTAACTTTAACTTTAACTTTTACGCAGACAAAAGGTGGTCTACCCGTTTCCCCAATATATTCCTCACCACATGCGTTACATGAGATCAAGTGTATTATATCTGAACTCATACAATCTCCGTCTCTCCCGTTAGGACATCATACAGTTTTCTGAGCTGCACAAACGATCATAGAGACGACTGCGAACTAACTGACGGCGTAGGGTATTGGGTGGGATGTCAATAATCTTTACATAATTTCCAACACCACTTTTTCTTAAGCACCTCTTAATGGCGCAACTTACTTCATTTGATATGAAGGGTAGCTTAAAGGGGATCTTACTTACGTCCGAAATATTATTTTGGGAAACTACCCAACGTTTTCCTCAAACTCCAGTGGCTTCTACTTCGTAGCCATTGGAAATGGCTATTTTTCATGCCAGGTTTAGCGATTCCTTCCTTTCCTCTTTTCCTGTGCACACATTTTTAGCCGTATGGTACATGTTTTTGATAAGTACTTTTTTATGTGTAAAGGATGAGAGGAGAGGTAGTGAACTAGTATGTTTTTACTACTTGGCTTACGATACCATTTTGTTATATAACCACTTTCTGAGAGCTTTATTTGGATGTTTAAGAATAGAAACCAGCTTTCTATTTGTTTTTCTCGTGTTAATTTTATATACTCTGACTGTCGGTTTAATAATTCAAAGCACTCATCCATCTGTTCTTGTGTGGAACAGACGATCAAGCAGTCGTCTATGTATCGACAGTAGAGTAAGGGTCGGTGATCGAGAACTGGAGCTTCCACCTTAGACATGAAAGCGATGGCAAGGCTTGGTGCTAAACGCTGCCCTATGGCCAACCCTCTAATTTGTGCAAAATATTTTCCGAACCACCTAAAGATTGAACAGCTAAGACACTGTTTTAAGAGAGTCATTAGTTGCGCAATCGACAAGCCGTACATTTTTATTCTTTTCGTGCTTTACGAGCAACTCGAGAATGGCTTGCATTGCGGAGTCATTCGACACTTTGTATAAAGTGAAGTAACATCGAATGACTCCATTATATGCTTGCTATTTGGTTGCGCCCGCCTTAGCTGATCCAGAAATATCTCGGTGTTTGGTAGATGGGTTGGAATGAATTTTAACAGTTGGGTTTGGATAAGGTTTGGGAACCACGTTATTCTATCCGTTGGTCCTCCTATACAACTGATGATAGGTCTAACTTTAAATGATGATGGGTTCGTGGTCGTAATATCATCAGTTGAAATAGGCATATGTGTTTTAATAAGCAAGTAAAGGACAGAGCAAATTGGTTGTTCGTATCTAAGTCAAGAAATAACTGAAGGCTCTAGACCCGCTGCCTTTTCCGTGTTGAGCCACTCTTGATTTAATTTTCGGTATTGGTTTCTATATTTCTTCTCAGAGGATGTTCGATAGAGAGAAACATCATTGAGATGCTCCTCTGCTATTCTAATATCCAACTGACCAGGAATAACTTCAAATTCTCCACCTTTATCACTAGTAGAAAGTCTAATAGGTTTTGAATTTAAGAGCTCTCTTACCTGGCTCCTACCACATTTTTGTTGGTGTGTGAGGTTGGTGCTATTTTCTCTTTTTAGTAGTGATTAAGTATGCGGAGAATTTCATCTGAAAATAAACGAAATGCAAGGTCAATATCGCTATTTGGTAGCTCTTGTTTAAGGAAAGTTCGGGGAGAAGGTATTGTTGGTAGTTTTCCCATGGTACTACTTTAGCTAATCTTTCTAGCTTAGCTGATCTTGAAGTTCATGCAGACTACACGTGATCCTGCGCAGGATTGGCTTGGAAATGGGTTGATTAGGGGCGAAACTCGGACCCAATTCTAACAATGAACGCGCATTTTCTGGAAGCGTTATGCCTCCTAGCATAGTAACTCTGGATGTTCTTGGTGCGCAGTCTATTTCAGGGTTGTCGCTTGAAACTTCACCAGCGGTGATCCTTTGATTTGACCCTTTTGCGTAGCGTGATAGGTCTTCAAACTTCTTCTTAACTTGCTCTTAATATCACACCAAATTTTTTCGCATATCGATGTAGACCCAGCTACTATTCTCTTCCAAAGATTTCTCTCCAAATACTGAGCACAATGATTTTCTTTGTACACACATTTGTTTAGTAGTGAAAACATATTGTTGTGCGTGCATCGCAGTGAGATGCATAAGAGTTTTATTTCGATGCTCAGCATTTGTTGAGAACTCTCTGGTAAGCCGCATACTTCGTATTATTTCCTACGCTTTATAACGTTAGGAATAATTCGATGTTTTAAGCAGCGGCGTAGAAAGTAGGTCTTTTGTGGCATTAAGACGATTTTCTGTCTTAATGACAATACGTCTCTTACAAGTCGGAAATGTTTTACTGGAACATCTCTTAATAACTCAAAAGACCTGCTTTCTATAGAAAGTTATAGAAAGTAAGTTATGAGTTATTTTGGGTTATTAAAACCGTAAATAGTTCACTGAAGTGTTCTGGTCTTCTTCATTCAAGCGGAATGAATTTGACGGTCAAATGAAAGCTCACTCCGACTCCATCATCATTATCATCACATTCGTGCTCAGCCTCCAATTTACTTTCTTCATACTATTCCATAGGCAGCACACGAATTTTTCCACTTTTCTCACCGACATCTGTATCTTCTTGTTTGTTTTCGGACAAGAGTCGAACGAAAGTGGGGAAAGTTAAATTTCGTTTACATGAATAAAGTCTACCAAAATTCTCTTTTAGACCTGTCTATGATTATTTTCCTTCCCAGTCGTCAATGATGAATTATGATCACCATATAGAATGGGAGAGTGCAGAAAACATACCGATAAATACTGCACAGGCTGGGTGATAGACGAGTTTTTTCATCCCTCGAAGAAGTTGAGGGTGTTCCGAAAGACCTTGCAAAAGTTCACTGAAGATAATAGAAGATACTAGCTGAGATACATGCAAAGCGAAGGACCCGGTTGGTGTAGTGGTGAAGTGCGCTGCTCCCCGGTAAGGACAACAGCGCGTGTTCGTTCCCCACTGCATACACCTGTGGTCCGGAGTTTTGCAAATATCTCAGCACTTCATACGAGTTATATTTCACAACATACCCTGCCATTAAGAAGGAAAAGGCAGTAAATAAAAGAGTTAAGATAATAGATACTTTGAAAATTAAAAGAAAATTATTGAAGAAAATAAGTGGAAGCACCGAATTAGATATCGAAGGGTTTTTGAAAAGAAGTTGGGTCTTTTTGTGCGTGATGGACGTGTGAGTTTACTATAAACGATATCATGCGTGACAAAAGTCAAAAAACCTCCATTGTTTAATTTTCAAGAAGTGATGTTATCATAGATGTGCTGAAGCTAAGTTGTAGCCTAGCATTGCTTCAGTTTTGTTGCCCAATCTGAACTTTGTTCCCAGGATGTAGAAGGATATCTCGACAATGTGATCGACACCATTGGTGTAAAAGAAGATTGTACAAATGAGATAGATCACGAAACAAGTCCGTGTAAACCCTCTCCTAGTGGAAGCAGTGACATTGACTTAGAGGTGAAAGCTACTAGAATTACGCGGGACGTTATCCATTCCTCGAATCCGAAGGTGGTAAATGAAACTAATGTTCCACTTCGAAACCTAAGACTTCCGGATCCACAAATGTCTGCGGGACATTCATTTACACACGCTGAACTGGAGAAGCTTTCGCGATTAAGGTACCTTTATAAATAAGAAATTTAGTTCATAGTAATAGTATAAATATCCTATAAATGATGGACATTATAGATCAAAATACTCGGAACGTCCTTCCAAGAAGCCCATTATTATTGATCCCTTGCCTGAGAGTGCTCACGTTACTGCTGAAGAGGTGTTTTTTTTGTGTCTAGTGAGCTCAAGATAGGTCTATATCTTTTATCTGAAGGAAATTTCCTAAACCTATGGTTTAAAGTGATGTTCGTTCAGAAGCATGGTCAACAAAAACAAAGAGGACTAGCCACTGATCCAGTAACAGTTTGTTCAGATGTTGCGAAAACTGTTGAACATGTTGAGATGTTGTTCAGGTACACATGATATCTAAGCTAGTATTTCATCTGCAGCTCTGTTCAGCAATAGTTTCTTTGTATTATCCATTATCATTTTCTGAGCAACTTTTTCACCCCTGAGGGAGATTATCATAATAGCGATTATAATCAATTATCTTTTTGAAAACGAAACTTTTCTTTCTTTCTTTCTTTTCTTTTTTATCTTTTTCTTCTTCGCGCTAAGAGATACTGCTCCAACCTCACTGAAATAAAAAACCTACGCGGGACGTACGAGAGCTGACAGGATCGAAAACGTAAGACTATCGGTTAGTGAAAAGGGTGGAGAGTTCGTTGTGATTCCCCATCAGTTAGACGCTGAGATAACGGAAAATCACCTTGAAGATGCTTCCCTTTATCGTCCGTCGTCTAACAAGTAGTTTAAAAGTCAATACCGAAAGTTAAACACCGAATGGGTTAAGGTGGCAAGAGCGGCTGGGTTAAAACCATCAGTTATCTCTCATCTCAAAATTGACTTACCAACATGTCCCGTCCTGTACTTACTTATCAAAACCCATAAGTTAGTATCAAGCGACGATCTTGCCTTTACCGATCCATAATTGTTTAATTTAAGGTTAGACCTATCATTAGCTGCGTGGACGGGACAACGGATAGAATAACGTGGTTAATCACCCTAATACTTACTCAGTTGTTGAAGTACAATCCAGCTCATCTAACGAACACCCAAATGTTCCTGGGTCGTCTACGTAACCCGCGACCCAACAGCGCGTACGTTGTGGAGTCCTTCGAGGTCACTGCCCTCTATACGAACGTGTCGAATGGCTCCGATGTGCAATCCATCCACGGGCTGCTCATACAACACGAAGGAGCAATAAACATGTACGGCTTCTCGATTCGGCAGTTGATGACACTCTTAAAGGAGTGCCTAAACTGCTCAATCTTCAGATGGTTCAGGAGGTATTACGCTCAAATGAGAGGGCTGGCAATGGGACAACGACTGGCACCAAGCCTTGCCATTGCATTCATGTTTAAGGTGGAAGCGCCAGTAATCGACCTCGGTCCGTTACTCTACTGTAGATATACAGTTGATTGCTTGGTTATTTGTTCAACGCAAGAAGAAATCGACAGATGTTTCGAGTTGTTGAACACACAGTCAGAGAATATTAAATTCACCCGAAAGAAACCAAAAGAAGACTGGCTTCCATTTCTGAACGTTACGAAATGGTATCGAAAGCCAAGTAGTAAAAACATCTTGGTTCCTCACCTCTCCTCTCACCCCTCTCACACGAAAAACGGTGTTTGTGAGAAACATGTTTCGAAGAGGAGGAGACCCGGAACTTGGCGCGGCAAATGGCCATTTTTAATGGTTACGAAACCGTAGCTCGAGATAGGTGTAGAGAAAACTATAGGTACCCAAATGACAACTCTAGCGCGAATAAGGTTTTGTTTAAGCTGACCTTCATTTCAAATGAAGTAAGTGGAGCCATAAAACGCTGTTTAAGAAAAGCCAGTCTAGAGAATTCGGTAACGATAATCGAAATACCACCGAGTAATCTAAGACGCCAGCTAGTTCGTAACCGCCTATACGACTGTGCAACGCAAAATTGCATAATTTCCCCCAATGGTAGAGACGGTGACTGCTTGAGTTCGAGTACAATCTAGCTGATCTCTTGTAAAGCATGCAGGGACAAATACGTTGGCGAAACAGGTAGACTACTCTGCGTCCGTATAAAAGAACACCTAGTCGGCAAATGTAAACCAAATACTCCATTAGGCACGCACTGGGCGCAGAGACATAACGGAGAAGATTTCGAAGTAGGGGTTACGATCCTCGCGCAAGAATCGAGAACACAAGTGTGCAAAACTCTAGAGACATTGTGGATTAATTCCAAGAATCCGAAAATGAACCACACGGAGGAATGCCTCATTATCACGCGTGATTTTGGGCAGTATATAAGCCTGTTATTTTGACGAGATGGGCACAATACGATTCCGTGTGAACTCTGCGCGGTTGGTCTCCACGTCACATATTTAGTGGAAGACTCATAGAAAGCGGTGAGTGTGCAAAGCCTGTGTTCAATGTGGTTGAAATTTTGGTTCAGCTTTTTCTCTGCTTGGTTATGGAGGTGTTTGGCCGCGTAGATTGTAGTCAACTTGACCTTTCCAGACTCTGAAGAAGGCGAAATCCGCCGAAACGTCAGCTTGTACGTAAATAAAGAAATTAAGTAACACCTCGTGTTTACTGAACAGAAGTAGAAAAATTATGTTTTTAAACACCTTCCACACCTAACATCGTTTCATGGGTTGGATTACGGAGCGCACTCTTCGCCTACTGCACACGAGGAGTCTCTCTGTTTCGGATTCCACCAATACAATTATGAAACAATTTTTTCGTCCGTTTAGTATCGACAGCAATGTTGACACGGTGAGAGTACCACTCTTTTTCGTTTCCTCATAGCCTGTTAGATTGTTGGGTAGATAATTTGATTCCTTCCAGGCCGATATTCTCCTGCCTAATATCGACTGTATCGATATACGTAGCAAACGTCAACACATCTTCATAGATACAGTGAAAAAACCGTACGTCCCCAGTTTTGTGAACTACGTTTGAAACTGTAAATTTTATCACGTGTTCTTAACTATTTCGTTGAAGCTCATGAAAAACTGAAAACTCGAGGGGGTGTCGATAGTAAAAGAAGAAAGGATAAAACGTTGGCGTTGATCACTCTCTAAGGTACGCTTCATGTACCCGACACCCTTAACCCTTTCGCGGGCATGCGCGCCGTTTACTTCGATACTGACGCTGTTGTACGTTTCGGAACGTACATCTTGATTTTAGTGCCCACCTCTAGTGTGCTCCAATGACACGCCGTCCGTTGGTCCGTCGGACCAGCCACGTGAAAATGGTCATGGTCCCCAAAGGTTTTTTGTATGGTAACAACTATTTAGTTCACATGATTGATCAAGCCTGCTTCCCTTTCAATAATTTCATGTTTATACATCATTTTCTGATCACGTAACACTTTCACGACTTTATAGTTTATGGATGGTTAGTCGAACACAGATTTTATACTGAAGCTGCTCTACAATTAGGTGTTCTCGGCTATACTTGCAAAAAGCCATCCTGAACAGTGGAGTGGAATCGGAGGAAATGAAAACATGAAGGAAACGCAGAAATACACTTCGACTACCACATAAAACAATATGGGAAGCTTGTTTTAACGTTTTGTTTTCTGCCTTCTATAATTTTCATGGCAGGTTACTAAGCGAAATACAACCACAATGTTGCTGAGATATTTGCAAAACTCTGGACCGCAGGTGTCTATGGTGGGGAACGAACGCGCTATTATCCTTTCCGGGGAGTAACGCGTTCACCACCACACCATGCCGGTCCTTTGTTTCGCACGTCTCTCAGCTATTTCTATCGATCTTTTTGCCACAGCAATCACCCGTCAGCGGGGTTAGCTTAACTGGGTTCTATGCCGATTTGCGCTCCCCAGATCAACCCCGCTGACGGGTGATTGCTGTGGCAAAAAGATCGATAGAAATAGCTGAGAGACGTGCGAAACAAAGGACCGGCATGGTGTGGTGGTGAACGCGTTACTCCCCGGAAAGGATAATAGCGCGTTCGTTCCCCACCATAGACACCTGCGGTCCAGAGTTTTGCAAATATCTCAGCAACATTGTGGTTGTATTTCGCTTAGTAACCTGCCATGAAAATTATAGAAGGCAGAAAACAAAACGTTAAAACATTGTGATTTCAACTACAGCCATAGCTTAACTGGGTTCTATGCCGATTTGCGCTCCCCAGATCAACCCCGCTGACGGGTGATTGCTGTGGCAAAAAGATCGATAGAAATAGCTGAGAGACGTGCGAAACAAAGGACCGGCATGGTGTGGTGGTGAACGCGTTACTCCCCGGAAAGGATAATAGCGCGTTCGTTCCCCACCATAGACACCTGCGGTCCAGAGTTTTGCAAATATCTCAGCAACATTGTGGTTGTATTTCGCTTAGTAACCTGCCATGAAAATTATAGAAGGCAGAAAACAAAACGTTAAAACATTGTGATTTCAACTACAGCCATAGCTTAACTGGGTTCTATGCCGATTTGCGCTCCCCAGATCAACCCCGCTGACGGGTGATTGCTGTGGCAAAAAGATCGATAGAAATAGCTGAGAGACGTGCGAAACAAAGGACCGGCATGGTGTGGTGGTGAACGCGTTACTCCCCGGAAAGGATAATAGCGCGTTCGTTCCCCACCATAGACACCTGCGGTCCAGAGTTTTGCAAATATCTCAGCAACATTGTGGTAATATGGGAAGCTATTAAGATCATAGATAATGGACGATGTTTTTTCATCATACACAACAGCTGTACGGAGAACATGGGAACATGCACAGAAGAACGCGGTGCATATGTAGAAGCTAGAGAGATTTGGAAGAAATGTGTTGGAACTGAACAATAGAACCATAACTTGTAGAAGCCAATGTCTAACATCTCTTGCGCGAGTTCACAGACCGTACATTTTGATTTCAATGCGCGCTCCGATTGCGCTTCAGTGACGCGCGGTTCGATGAGCCCGACGGGAGTGATTACGGCAGGTGTAAGACAGTGGAGTGCATTTCAAGATTGTGCAATATCATCTTTCACCAACTCACAAGATGGGTGGCTAGCTATCCAGCGGTATTGAGAATTGCAAATGATCAATGGATCGTTGAATGATATTTGCAGACGCAGTGATTGGGATCACAATCGTGAGCGACGATCGTAAGAAAAATAAACAAATCAGAAATTGGTCAAGTATCACATAACGTTTGAGCTACTGACTGGCTAACTAGGTGTCCAATTAGGTACTAAGGTTTCGAAAAGTTGAGGGATGTGTACGTGAAGATAATGTTTAGAAACATGGAGTAGTTCCGCTGTATTTCAATATAGGGCACGTTGAGCGCAGTGCTTAGAGGTACTTTGCAATACACTTGGTTGTTGGTTCGTTAGTATAACGATAACGTCAAGAAACCGGTGCGTCCCGCCTCTTGCGCGGGTTCAAAGATATTGTATTGCATCTTGATTTCAATGGATGTTCCGATTACACTCCAGTGATGCAGAAACACGTCGGATGAACTCGACACGTGAAAATGGCCGCGGTCGTGAAAGGGTTAAACATGGTATCCGTGATTGAAGGCATGTCTGGGGCTAAACAATGACTTGCAGTGTCTTATGTGTGAAATCAGTGCTGCCATCCACTCGGACAGGTCTGGTGCCAATTTGCTGACCCAGACGGATGGATGGAAAGCTTGATGAAACGATGTCGGGTGGCTGGAACAAAGACCACCAAAGTGTGTGTTGCAGAGCACCTCTAAGCACTGCGCTACTAGCGCCGTAAAAAATTGTTAGTTGTAGTAATTGTTGCACGGATTGGTGTTTATATCCTAAAGCCTTTTAGATTAGCAGCATATCAGCGGGAAGTAAACTGCACTTTTTCGGAGTTCAATTGGCTCTCTCGACTAGCTGCAACATTTAAGTTGGAGTCGGATACGATTACTAATTTCGATAAAGATATGCTGAGACTTATCTGCGCTGTATTATTGAAATTGTACGTTCATGTATCCGTGAATTTGTTAAGTTTTTACGTAATTCAGTGATTTTAGAATCGCAATGTTGGACAGCGTTGTTGAGGATTCTTTGTTTCCTAAAAATCAAGCATCGGACAAATTCATACGTTCGTTGGCCAAAATGGGAATCGACATCAATGTTTTTAATACCATGGTTTCGAAAATTATTGGTGATTTGGAAGAAATACCCGGTGTCGATACTTCAAAATTAGGTGTATGATGTATAAGTCCGTAATCGTTGGTCTATAGAGTTTATAAATAGGTTTAAAGTGGTTTTGTATTGGTTTGAAATAAAACTGCCGCACCGCTGTTCACATACTCTTTTAACTTTCAAGATTACTTTACCAAATTTCATGCAAAGAGTGAATGGTTTTCACCGAAAATTGCGACAACTGCATGTCGAATGGTCGTTGAAGCACAATCTGAGAGCGTGGAGATTGGCCTAGTGCTTGCCTCAAGTGAAAACGCTCTCAGAGTGGAAATGACGGAAATCTAACGATGCAAAGTCACAGTTACATGTGACATGGTTGACGTCGAAATAACGTGTGCTCGGTCGAACTCATTTTGGTCTTTACAGCCTAAGAAGCTGGTCTGCATAAATTCTCACGTCGGATTTTTGCAATTCCCATGCACGCTAACCCTACTAGACCAGGATCCCATAGAACTTTGCACCAGTATAAGTCCTGCCGCAGAAAAATCGAAGGCAGGTTAGCTTAAGGATACAGCAAATTCTGTGACTTTGTGGTAAAGCGAGCAATGACGTTCGGTGAACGCGTACATCAAGAACTGTGTGAGATCCCCAGCAACGTCGTCAGTGTGTAATATCTGGCCGTTGTCGATGGAGGAGTTCCGGCTCTGATCTGTTAGGGTTCTCAAACTTTCTCCATCAGAGATTAGCGCAAAAGACGTGTTATCATCAAGGGGAGTCCGAAGATTTAAATTGACATTCTAAAACGTTGCCTTAGTTTTCTGTTAAGCCAATAATTCTATGCTGTGACAGGAAAAGAATCTCAACGCTGCATGTTGTTTAATTCGGGTGTGGCATGCACATCGACTTTGGCTGTTCCTCACTGTATAGTTTGCTAGTTGGACAGGTTTTTGTTCTTGAATAAAGGAGTAAATAGGCTCTCGTCTCTCTTTCGTCCATCTGTAGTTCACTAGAGACATGTTCTCATTTTCCAATTAATCCACTGTTTTACAAGTAGTATGTCTTGCGACGTGACGCAGTGATCGGAGGTGCCCTACAACACACGCGTATCCCGGGCCCATGGCCCGCTAAGCCTTCCATCCTTCTGGGGTCGGCAAATTGGAACCAGACTTGTCTACTTGTCTGGGAGGATAGCAGCACTGGCTCGATACATTAGTAGGCCGCCACGAGTCATTGTAAAGGCCAGATATGCACTCAATGATTTCCAAACGATGCTTAATGAAGTCGAATGAATGGCGCATCACTCAGGGATTGATCAACGCCGAGAATTTTTAGAGCTTTATACCTTGCGACATCTGTTGAGTTCATTCAGGAATAATGCCGCTGAAATGTTTCTGATAGCAGCTTCAGAGTTAAAAACAGGCTGATAAAAAGGTAAAGCAAAAGGATCGACTCGTGTGGTGGATAGCACCTACTTATTTACTTGATACTTGAATGGCCCATCCTCACGGGTTGCTGGTTGTGCAGGCCCCAATATAATCACCATTTTTCGGGGATTCGCTGGTTAAGCTGTTGTGGTTCCTGGAATCCCGTGGACAGCCTGGCGAAAGTCTGCTTCAGGTTGTCACCACGACAGACACTCGCAACACTTGTGGATCAGAGGGAGATTTACCACCATGCGACTTTGATACCAAGACGGTGGTGAATCCTGGTGTTGGTTTACTCTTAGCTAGGCTTCTTGATGGAAGCGCCGGACTCCTTTTTAGCTTGGAGGACTCTGCCGGGAGACAAATCCCCCCCCCCCGCTGTACATCGCAGTTCGACACATAGGAACACCTCCCAGCCACGATGAGGCGGTAAACCGTTGGGAGGGGATATCACCTAAGGCCTCAGAAAGGGTAATTGTGGGTACGAAGCCCAGCTGAGGTTCCGAGTCTTGCTCATATCTCACCATCCTTGCTGTTGTACTTCACATAATACCGTGCCATGAAAAAAAATTAGGCAGGTAATAAAAGTTGGACCTAGTCCCTCTTTTCGTCGTGGCAATTTTTAGAAATTCATCTTCTGAAGAGTGCTCGCTGGATATATTGATGCTGTTTGCTCGTTTTAAAGCTTGTGCTTTACAAAGCTGTTCCTTGTAGCTTAAAGTTTGCTATGGTTTTGAATGGTTCTCTCGCGGTAGGAATTTAGTGTTATTTTCCATTAAGTGTTAGTTCAAGCTTGAGCATACTTCTGCTGAACGAATACTCAGCATATGGTGGCGACGACCACTTGCAAACAGTTGAAGCCGACAGTCTAGAAAGTACCCGAAAGTTCGCAGAGCAGTTGAGAACTAGCCAGTTTAAAACCGTTTCTAACACTGAATAAGATGAAAAGTGGAGACAGTTTGATAAACGGACATAACACGGTTTACGGTCTTTCAAGTTCAATAATATTTTCAATGGCATTCATAGCCTCACTCGAATTGACGGGAAATGTTTCTTTCTCAGTCGACGACATCTCTCTGAAAAATGATTTTCTGTATGCAAGCAATCGACTATCTTTATTTAAGCACTTATGTATATATGTGTATGTACATATATATATACATATATATATATATGTATATAATGTCGATTCATACATTTCTCATTAGTCCATATGTTATGAGGAGTAGAAGTTTACGAAAGATACACTAAGAGCACGTTTGAACACTGCTTCGCTGTAAATGCACCAAAATTGACGATTTTCTCACACACGCCGTAAAAACTCATTGTTCATTCTCACTTTTGCTTCTGATGTCGGCTTAAACATTGTCTCTGATTCAATCAGTAAGTAGATCGCGCGAAGGATTCGCTGGCGAAAAAATACTTCTCTCGGACCCATATCGTGGTGAAGACCTGGATACGCACCAGCAAGGTTAAGTCAGGACTCCAGGGAAGATCAGATTATTCAAACAACCTCAGTACCAGTCTCAGTACCTCGCACAATGGATGTTACTGTCTATGACGTCAGGTGTGACCGGAGGGGCCACAAAATCTCAGATTACGTAGGATGTTACTGGAACTGCACGTGATCAACACATGTAGTTATCACATGCGGAGAAAAGGTCACGTGAAGAAATGTCGGTGGCGCAGATTTTGTCGTCCAGCCGCCCATTGTTCATCTTGTCGACTTTTACGAGACCCTTTCTCTTCGCATAACTGTCCTCTTTTTCAACTGATGCGTCAGAAGATCATAATCATCAATTGCCGCTCACCAACCAATGCAGCTGACGAGTATGAATTAGATGCGTTCTACTATCTGCTATCAGTTGGAAAAAGTTATTCGGAATAACAAAGCATATTATGAATTCGTTGTCGGAGACTTCAACGCCAGAGTGGTAAAGGCCAACGAGAGCGAAGATGGAAGCAATAAGTTTGGATCAGGAGAAGGAAATGAGAATGGAAAGCGTCTAGTTGGACTCCTGTACTCGCTATGTCTCTTCCATGGATACTAATTTTTTCCAGAAGAAAGAAAGCTGTTGCTCAGCATGGAAGTCTCCTCTAACGGACCGACTAATTTGACGGTTGACCGTATTCTAACAAGCGAAAGATGGTGCCCACTTGACACATCGGTGGTCTTGTCATTTCGTACTTGATCCGGTCACTGCTTGGCGCGAAGATTCGATTCTGCCGTAAGCTGGAAAAGAATTTATGTCATCGACCACGAGGAAAAAGTCTAGCTGTGTGCGATGAGAACATTGTGAACGAAGCCCTATCTAAGCGTGACTGGCGGAATAAAGAAGGTCCGGAAAAAGACTACGAGCAGCTTGCCGAAGGGCTGAAAACGTGCGCCGAATTCGCTTCAATTCACCAAGCGAAAATATCGGATAGTATCGCCATTACCACTAAATAGTTGCTCGAGATAAGAGGGAAACTGAAGCTTGTTTCTACTGTAACACGTTTAACGCGACTAGTAATAAATGTCTGCTCCAGAAAGGCTTTGCGGGGACGTCTACATCGGTACAGACAGATGAAGCTACTGAAAACAGCGCAAAGAAAAACGTCTGAAAAAATTTCGTCGGAATTTGTGCGATTATGATGTTCCGGTGTTAACGTTGATGAAAGAAAATGGGATCACCAAAACTCATGATATGGAATTGGTTACGGAGACGTTCTACACCAACGTTTTCCAATTCACAATCCCGGTTGAGAATCCTAAAATCGCCACTGGAGGAAAAACCAAGTGGAATTTTTCCCTCGAAGGTTCGAGTTACAATAGAAAACAAGAAAAAGGCACAGCTCTAGGACCCGATGATATAACTACTGACTTCCTTAGAGCTGCAAGCCACAGTTTACATGTACTTCTCGCAAACTATATGACAGCCTACCTTCAAAACGAGAAAACCTAGACCAGAGGCAGATTTCGCGCACCGTCATCCTACCCATGAAAGGTGACCTAAAAGATCTTCGTAAATACCGTCCAATATGCTTATTGAGTGCCCCTACAAGCTCATCACGAAGATGCTCTTGTCAGGCATATCAAGGACAATCGATGAGACGCAACCAATGAAGCAGGATTTCGACAAGGATTTTGCTGCATGCTTTTTTGCTGCATGGACCACATCCAAACTGTGTCCATGGTCGTCGAAGTTTGCCGTGAATATCACTTGCCTCTAGTCATAACCTCTGTCGACTATGAAAAAGCGTTTGACAGTGTTGAAACGAATGCAATCCTATCAGCGATCGTCGACCAAGGAGTGGACCAGTCCTACGTAAGGTCTCTGTCCGACTGTTATCGAAACAGCACTACGAAAATACATCTTTTCCATCGACCTCTTACAATACCCGTAGGAAAAGGGGTTCGAAAGGGCGACACAATATCGCCATCACTATATAGGGATGAGAAAGGCATACGTATTGATGGAATACTCCTATCAAACCTTCGCCGACGACATTGTCATCTTTTCAAGAAGTAATAGCGATGCAGAGGTGATGATCAACGACCTCAACGAAGCGGGGAAAAATCGGACTTTGCATAAATCGAAAGAAGACCCAGTTCATGAAAAATCCACAATGCGAAGGAGAACAAATTGAACTGAATAGTTCTTT